CCCCAAAACCCCAAAACCCCAAAACCCCAAAACCCCAGCTACATAATCCAGAGTTGATTTATCGTTAAATAAATTATTTAATATTAACGGATCCAGATAAATGACGCAAAATCCCATAGAGGCTTTAGGCCAAAACTTGGATTTAATTCAGGTAAATGCCTTATTTTCTAGTCCATTCAGCTCGCTTGTCTCAGTTCTTGGAATTTTCAAGATTGTAGCCGCCTCTGTAGATTTCTAAATAATTCAAAATTCAAATATTATCTGCCATTTGCAGATAAACTAAGGATTTAACTATTCCAATCTAGACTCAGTTTCCTCAACTCATGAAATCTCTTGAAGAAAACCAAGAGAGCCAGCTCTTTGGCCATAATAGCAACCAAGATATGGAAAATATTTGAGAAAGACCCTCACTGGTGAAGGAATCTTATCATATATCTGATTTCAGAGACTTTGATTGTTCCAAAGTTATTGAGACTAGCTTCGGACCTTCAAACTTTGGAAACACTCAGGCACTTCACAGAACAAGCCAACGTAAGACTCGAGCTCCTCCTTTGATCCTTAATTTGTAGATATTTATCTAACAGTTAATATAGAGAGCATTCCCACAGAAGTTTGCAAAGAGCCAAATTGTATTGATCATCCTTATTGAAGGTACATGAGCAACATCGATATGGATGTATCAACCAAATTCAACCTCTACCAGTCATTTAAAAAGAAGAACCACAACTTTAAGGTTTGAGTCAGGATCAGACCTCTTGCTGAAGACGAAAGAAGGTATTCCTCTTGTTTTAATTTAAAGATCTAAAAACTCAAAGAAAGACTCAAATATTTGTCTTAACCATGACGAATACAGCGTATGGAAAAAGTGTTTATCTCTATAGATCAAGCTTAAAGGAGACAAATCCACATATGACTATGCTGTAAGTGCACCTGAGTAACATAAATAGGGTAAAAACAGCCAAGGATTCTACTATGACTATGTATTCGGATCTCCTCTTAAAAACCAACATGTATTTGAGCAATCCGTAAGTATAAAGCCTAAATTTGATATAGCTTCTCCCAATGCTCCCTAATATCTTCGAAGGGTTTAATGTCACTTGCATGGCTTATGGAATCACTGGAGCAGGTAAAACCTATACAATGCTTGGAAACACAATGAATCAGACGCATACTAGGCAGAGCTTGGTTCCTGTTAAAGGGATCTCTGAGTTAGCGATGGATTACATATTCGATTTTATCAATCTAGAATCTACTCAAAAATCAACGGCTAATCTGAACAGTAAAAATAACGTCCAATACAAAATTAAAATTTCCTACCTCGAAGTCTACAATGAACAGATAAGAGATCTTCTCAGAGAAGATAAAGGAATCAACCTCATCATCTTAGAGGATGCTCAGCATGGCATGACCGTACCTGGTCTTAAGGAGTGTGAAGTAAAGAGTTCATCTGAAGTACTCTCCCTGATTAACAAGGGAAACAATAGGAGAACAATGGCTTCGACACATAGCAACAGGTTCTCTTCAAGATCGCATGCTATTATTCAAATATCTATGGAGAGGACTCAGTTCTTGCAAGAAGGTGCTACCAATGAAGCTGAGAGTAAGTTTGCTTAAATTTTGAGATTCTGATCATATTTAGGTGCCTCAGTATATTCTAAGCTGACTCTTGTTGACCTGGCTGGTAGTGAGAAAGAAGACCAAGAGGATTGAGTGCAGAACAAGCATCGTCTTGAAGGGTCTAACATCAACAAATCCCTTTTAGCACTTGGAAACTGTATTAAGATCTTAAGTCAACGTAAGTCTTTATGCTTACTTATGAATAGTTAAGAGCAAAGCAGGTAAAAGCAACCACAAGGGAAAATTTGTCCCTTACAGAGATTCAAAGTTGACCAGACTTTTAAAAGATTCTCTGGGTGGAAATACAAAGACTCTCATGCTTGCTTGAGTGAGTCCATCTTACTCTCATTACGAAGAGACTTTGAACACTCTAAAATATGCAGCTAGAGCTAGAAAAATTCAAAACCCAGCCAAAAGAAATGTCAAAAGCCAGAAGAAATCGATTGCTAAAGTAAAGAAACTTATTGGCGAGTTGAAAATGGAGATTATTTCCATTAAAACTGAGATTAAGAAAGTGCAAGAATGAGAAGAGCCCAAAAACCAGATCTGAATAGTGAACACTAACAGAAGAAATTCCTTCATTGAGCCAAACAACTACAATTTTGACTCAGAAGATTTCCTTGAGATACTAAGCTACACAAAATCTGCATGACTTGAAAAGAAGAGACTAAAGACTTTGAAAAAATTTCTGAAGTATGAGCTTGGACATCTAATAAAAAGCTCAGAAATGACCAAGGAGGAGCACGACATCGAGAATAAACAGCAAGAAATTGAAAATAATTTCCAGAATCTCATAATTTCCATGAAAGACAGAGTCAGACTTGCCCATAACCGAAAAGAAATTACTGATGCAATGGCAAAGCAGACAAATGAAGATGCTGCTCCTTATAATGTAAACCTCGAAAATCTTCTGGAAGAAAACACTTCTGCACTAGATACAAATTTAGAAAAGACAGAAGGGCTTGTGAATACTTTGAAGTCCCTGAGGGATATCACTGATGAGGACAACAATAAAGAAAACCAGGAGAATTTAGACTTCTATAATTCTAAGAGAGTAGAATTAAAGAAACAGAATACTGATTTGAAGGAATACCTTGCACAGGTTAAATCAAAATGTAAGTCTCCCTGCTTCATATTTCTAATTATTTACGAACAGGCTTCATTGATGACTGCTTATTGATAGGTTTCAGTCATGACCATTATTTAGATTCTGATGACAGTGAGATCCAGTCATTAGAGGCTCAAAAGGCTCAATTGAAATCGATGATTGCTCAGAAGACTAAAGCACATTCTGATGTTCAGACTAATATCCATATTGTTGACTCTGAGATTAGAGAAACGAGGAAAAAGGCTGCAGGGACCATTAACTCCTTAGTTATCCATTTCCAAACAGACATCCTTCAGAAGGTAAACCTTGACTCTGAGTTATAGATGAAAGACAAAATTGATAAGCTGAATGAAGAACAAATCAGAAGATCCCAGTTAAAATTGATGGAGGAACAAGCGAAAGAGCAGATTGAAAATATTGCCCCTGTAAGGATCTCGATAACATACCTCACTATCATTAGCTTCTATCTTAACTTCAATGGAGATATCTAAACTTCTCATAGGAAGCAGATTTGGGAAGTAAACCTTCTCGATGCATATGAGATGACAGCAATAGAGATGATAACCAGGAGGAAAATCCCTTTGAGATTTACTTAGAACAAAATGATGGAATGGAGTCTCCTAAAACGAGAAAACAGAGTACTCCTCTCAAGCTAAAAGGAAGCTTCCTTCAGCACGAAGTAAAGGCTGATATCGAGGAGGAGCAGATTGAGTTCCTCCAGAAGGAAAAAGAGGAATTCCAGATCGAACTTCAGAAGGTTAAGGAAAGAGAAGTCCTCGCTCAGATCGAAAGAAAGAGACTCCAGCAAGAACTTATTGTAGGCTGCAATACTAATTTTGTAGCAAATGCAGAAGAATAGGATTGAAGAAGAACGCCAATTCCAAAAAGATACAATCGAATTGGAGAATTTAAGGTAAACCTTTATGACTATTAATAGGAAAATGAGAGAAGAAGTCCAAAAGGATTATGAAAAACAGATCGAACTTCAGAATGAGATTGACGAACAAATAGAAGCTGAACGTAAAAGAAAGCAAGAGCTTAAAGAATTGGCTGATAACCATATTCTCTCTAATTATTTAAAAGAGATGGATATTGAGAATGAAGAAGACAAAGATGAAACTTCAAGGAAAAGTTTATGTAGCCTACCATCCCAAGACAAGAGTGATAGTGATGACTACTCCTCTTTAGTTGATGATATCAGGACCGTGTATGAACTACAAGATGAAGAGAGTAATTATTTTAGTTTACTTTATAGCATTAACACAAAATGAAGTTGAGACTGTGATAAAGAAACCAACTCCAGCTCCAGATTCAGAAGATAGCAGTGAAAGTTTTGAAAGGGAAGGTGATAATTCGATTGGATTGCATGAAAGAAGTTCATTTGAAGATATTGAAGGGCTAGAAAAGACTTTAAGCAATCTTTGTCCCCAATTCCCGATTAATTATGTGTCTAAACCATCAAAGAGGAGTCCTAAAAAAGATTGAGATACTTTCATCGAGAAGAATACAGCCATTAATAACCTGAACGAAAGTAAGAATATTTTGCAATATATTTTTAGGCTTCTTAAGATGAAGAATGAGCTCAATCCACAAGTCAGGAAAATCTTTTGGTAGTAAATGCTACTCTCAGAAGGTATCTCCCAAGATGTCCCCAAAGGCTCATACTCTGAGATTAGATAACTCTGATTTTGGTAGTTTCTGCTCTCAGAGCCCTACAGATGATCTGAAAAAGACTCAGAAAGAAATAATTATTGAAAATCTTAACTCTTTTTCATCTAAATCCGGCAACTCTATGAGAGAGAAGGAGTCTCTGATTGCAAGCCCAATGAATCAACTGAGAATCACTTACTTGTCTGACAAATTCAAAGACTCTGATAAAGGTGCGAACTGGTCTCACAATTATAGAATCGAGGAAGATAACTAAACAGAAAAACTTTAGTGAGGTTAATCTCCTAGCACCTTCTCTGATGAATGGATATCCTAGGAATGGGTTCTCTCCAACCTCATCTAGGAAGCAAGCTGCAAAAATGTACGAGCCTTTGAAGCCATTGCAGAAAGTCTCTGAGAAGCATGTTGACATTCAGTCTTTCAAAGATCCAAACAAAGTCAAGAAGCAGAAAAAATTAAAGAGAAATGGAAGAAGAAAAAATAGGACTAGAAGCAAGAAATTTAGAGAACTTTCTTCAAGAGGTCAATTCAAATACAGAGGAAGGACAGGATTCGCCCTTATCAAAAAGTACAGATCTAAGAGAAGAATTGAAAGCCTCAAACTGAGAGAGAATAGTCTTGGACAAAGAAAAATAGATGGATCATCTCGTAGTCGTAACTGTAGTGAAGAAGGATTCTTTGAAACTATAAAATCCCAGAGTTCTGATTGTCCATCAATTCCTAGAAGTAAATCATCGAAGAAGTCAATGCCAGGAATTTATACAAGCAAAAAGTTGAATGAGAAGTTTAGGCAGATTAAAGAGGCAAAGAACAGAAGGATTCAAAATACAATGCAAAAAATCATGAAGATTCATGCCCATCATGATGACCAAAACCAGTTATCAAGGAAGAGCTCAAATGCTTTTTGAGAAAGCGTTAACCTAAACAACCAATCTTCTAATAAAAACTGTAAACATTGTATTGTTAGCTCAGGAACAGTGAGTCATCAGCAATCATCTGAGAGAAACTTTAATTTTGACACACCAAAAGTATCAATTAGTGATCATGATTGTGTCCATGGCTCAAGAAATAGAAGAATGCATAAGAATATGGAAAATTATTCCAGAAAAGATTCTGAATGTGACTTCTCGAATCCTGAGGAGATCAAAAGTTACTCAATTAATTCTCATGGAAAGCTCTCCCCAAAATCAATTTCTGAGGCTTCAAAAAGAAATACTGGGTGTAGGACTCAGAAACCATCATTTATTGAACAGAAGGATGACTTGCATGGAAGAACATTCCAAAAGAAGGGAACAAAGAATACATACAACCGTCAATATTTAATGCCAGTTAGCGAAAATCCAGGAGTGACTAAAGGTAACTTCCCTTTCTCAATACCTAGAAAAGCACAACCAACACAAAATATCCAATAAAACAACCACATATCATACCAGCACTTCTAGTATGAATCAGAACCAGAAAATATACTTCGAGAGTAAAGATTTGTACGCTGTTGATCCAAAATAACTTTAAATTAATTTATTTCAACTCCTAATAGCAAAACGGGGTTTTGGGGTTTTGGGGTTTTGGGGTTTTGGGG